AGAGGGCAGTGTCACTGGCCCTCATATGTGGGATCCGATCTGGGGCCCTCTGGCATCCCAAGCCAGCTCTTAACCAACGCGCCACTCGGCCGGCCCGGAAGTAAGGTACTCTTGAGTGTGCACTCAGTGACTGTTCAGATGTCCTTTAGTGGATCTAATTAATGCTCTTTCCTTGGCTCAGGCACAAAAAACTTCTGCTGGCTAGGGAAGAGGGAGTGGACTCTCGGAGTTGCAGCCCCTGGACACTGGAGCCTGGTGTGCCCGCCTCTCCTCCATGGTAAGCCTCTTCCGCTAATCTTTGTGCCCACAGACACAGGAGGAGAGGGCTTTCAGTGAGCCTATGACTGCTTCCCAAGCCAAACACCTCCCGGGCACAGTCTTCAAGGGGCTCCCCTTGGCTTCAGGAACCTCCTGGGAGCACAGTGTGCTGACTGGAGAGGGAGCTGGGACCACTGTCCCTCTGCAGGGTGGCAGGGTGTCCCTGGACTGGGAAAGGTGTCCCCCTCCCAGGGGCGCCTCCTGAGTCAGATGGGGCTGGCTTTCTCCACAGAACAAGATGTAGGTCTTCATTGGAGGGGTGGCATGTCCTAGGTTGGGACTCAGGGCTTGGGGTGGCACTCGGGGTGCGGCCAGGGAGAGCTGTTTCCCGCGAGCACAGTCGATAACGAAAGTTAGGTGAGCTGTGGGGATGGCCTTCTGAAGGTGGGCCGGCTTCCCACCTAGGAGGAAGGAAAAGCGCAAAGGTTTGTGTTCGCAAGCAAGGGCAGTGGTTGCTTTAATTCACTTGTTCATTCACTCCACAAGCGCTTAACTGCGTGTTGGTTGACACACAAAGATGGAAAGAGAATGGGGTCTGCCGGCATGGATGTCAGCATCAGAGACCTGACTTTAAATCCTGTTTCCCTCTGATCAGTCATCTGCCTTCCAGGAGCAGAGACCACTGCCTTAGAGCTTACCATGTGCATGTCAACACGCAAGATGGGTACAGTGGGTCTGGGGTGGGGCCTGAGGGTCTGTATGTCTAACAAGCGCCCAGCGGATGCTGGCACTGCTGATCCACGGACCACACAGGGAGTACTGAGGTCCTTGAACAAGAGGAAAGCCCCAGCCAACTTTCACAGATGAGGAAACTGAAGCTCAGCTTGAGCAAAGATTGGTGGCTTTCAGGGAGCACCACGCTGCTCTCCACCTCCCCACACAATATCAGTGCCTCAGAGAGCACCATCGGTGACGGTCCCATCTGCCCTGGGGATCTCTGCTCTGTCTTCCCACCCAACTCAGGGCCCAGCAGCCATGAACCAACTGATTCATTTATTAATGAATCAAGTGCCAGCGCAGGTCTCTCTAAAAAAAGTAACTGTGAGTTGCCCACGTAATAAACTTATTTATTCTCTTAAGTACGTGCTGCTCGTCACCAGACACAGGCTCAGGAGGAAGCTTATTTATTGTGTTATATTATGTTGGTTAACACAGGAAATAAAAGTGAAGCCTACCCCTGGCTGGAGAATCCTACAGCCCCAAGGGAGGGCTGCTACCCTCTCCCCCTCACCTTGCCGGCCCCCCTCAGCTGGCCTTTCTCCAGGACTGAGGCGCCCTCTGCCACCTTTTACCTGAGCTGGTCTCCAGGTCTGTCTCATGGCCCATGATGTTGGGGCTGGTTCCCTGGTCCCTAGGGTCTTCAGAGGGTGCCATTGCTGCTGCCACAGCGCCTGGCCCAGCGTCACCAGGAGGAGCAGTTTTCCTCGGCCTCTTCTAGGATGTGGTTCCCCACCCAAGGACCCGACCGTTTATATTTACAGGACCCAGACCCGGATCCTCTAAGTGAATTCCACTGGAGCCACAGGAACTGGCCTGGGGCAGTGCGGGGATTACTTTGATCCACAGGGTTATGTCAACAAGGCTGTTGTTGGGACTTTGGGAGGCAGGCCCTCTACCAAACAATCACTGTTTTTTCCAACTTTGGCTGCTTCCTTACTTGGGCCAGGCCTTGGAACCTTCTCCTCCGGGCCTCAGTTTTCCCAAACCTCAGTCGTTATCTGGCTACGTCACCAGGTTTGTTTTATTATTCCTTTTTTCCCACCTAAGAACTATATGGAATACTGCTTACTTAATGTGCCCCTTTGTCTTGTTCTGTCTAGGGGACCTAAAGAACAAACATTTATTTCTCACAGTACTTGATTGATGCTGGGACATCTGAGATGAAGGCGTCGGCAGATTTGGTTTTTGGTGAGGACCTGCTTACTGGTTCATAGAGGGCTGTCTTTTTGCTGTGTCCTTACCTGGCAGGAATTATAAAGGCTCCGCCCTCATGACCTAATCACCTCCCAAAGGTCCCACCCACCATCACAGTGGGATCAGCTTTTGAAATATGAATGTTGGGAGGACACAATCAGCCTATGGCATCATTTAAGTCAAATCAACTTTTTTTTTTTTTAAGATTTTTATTGGGGAATTGGGGGAGGGGAACAGTGCTGGGGAATTGGGGGAAGGGGAACAGACAAGTTGCT